CATAATAGTAAAGAGAGAGCTTATTTAAGAAACATAGCAAAGAAAGAGTCCGAAAATAACCTATTTTTGGGACATTTTTTCACGCCTAGTTTCTTGTCTCTACTTGTCTCTGCTGCTAAATCGATGGTCCGGCCAGTAGTTCCATGTAAATAATTGTACCTTCAAAACGTGCTTCTCAGCAGTGCCACTGGGAAGCGCTGCAGAGTGGCCCGTGTGAAATGGCTCTAAATCCTCGTCTTAATAAATAAGTAACTTAATATTTTCAGAAATTATTAAAGACTTTATTTTCAACATTTAGCCCTGTTAAGGAAAACCGTTGTAAAAATGGCCAAATTACAAAAAGTTTTACAAAGTTTAAAAATTGAGAGAAAATGTCGCGAATACAGGCAGCCTTTCCGTTAAGCAATATCTTCTTAATCGATTGTGGAAACTCGCTTCTCGGTACCTGAGTTGGATGGGCATAAAGCTGGATTTATTGTAAACTCTGCAGTTGGTGCCGTTCGTCGTTCGTGAAGTTGCTGTTGTTCGCGTTTGACGATTTATATTGTGCAGTTTGCAGCTGCCGACGTTGGAATTTGATAATTCAGATTGATGGATTGTATGCCCATATGTTGCTTATGTGTGGTGTCATCCTGTTCCTTCTGGGCATTATTGTAGTTCTTGTGCCGCAAATTGTACAAGTACAAACAAAATACGGCCTGGTTTTGGCAAATGGCACTCAGTCACTCGCGTGATTTAAAACTCTCTCAATGGTTAAATCGCTGCACGAACGACGTCGCCGGCGAAATAAATTTGGTTAATTACCAACGGCATGGGAACGACGAACTTCAAGCAACGTCGGGTTTATAAATTGAAACATGGGCGCGCGTATGTTTATTTCCCGAACGGCGGCAACTGCAAACTACGAACGGCACCAACTGCAAAGTTTATAAATCCCGCTAGCCCAACATTAGCAAATTTAGTCATGAACGAGTTAATAACAAATACCTTACAAAACCTACCGTTCAACCTACCCTTTCTTAAATT